TACTAGTTAAGAAATTTTATAATACATGAATCAATTGACTATTACTCTTAAACTAACTGATGTATTATAGTTTTCCTTGAAAGTTCATGAAAAGCAGTATAATTACGAATTTTCCCAGATTTTCCATACCAACAGTTTAGTTTTTAGAGGGGGGGGGGGGACGCCGTATTCGAACAAAAATTGGCACTTTAAACTTTAATAATTTGGAAACAGATCCTTAAATGGAAAAATAGTCTTGGAAACCCCTAAGCCATTTTAAAATACCTATCCAACGATACCCCACGCGATGGGGTACAAGATGAAAAAAAATTCATCCCCACTATACATGTAAGGGTAGGGCCCTACAAACCCTGTACCCTAAAAACATTTTTTTTACAAAATTTTATTTTACCGTTTTGTCGGCGTGATTAATATACATACCTCCACAAAATTACAGATCTCTAGTGCCAATAGTTTCCAAGCAAAACCTCGGACAGACAGACAGACATACCGAAACTAAAAGGGTTCCTTGTCAGGACTACGGAACCCTAAAAAGGACATTAAGTATGACGTATCTACAGCGTCCCTAGCGGATACTTTCCAAAACTAAAATCTTCATAGATTTTTTGACACACTTTAACGAATAGGTACGTTTGATGTAAACTCACACTAATGACATTAAAATGTATGACGGATTGTACAGCGCCCCTAGCGGGAAACGTTCAAAAACTAAAATTTTCATACATTTTTTTCAGCCCACAATACGAGGAACAGATACATGTAGGTATATGAAATAATCCTAGTTAATTTAATTATTTTATTGCTTATACACACAGTACGAACGGCAAACATAATGCCTTATCTATGGCGGGGAATTCCCGCGAAATGCGAAACGCGAAATCGAGCACCGATTTCTCTCCCATGCAAAAACACCAAACCGAACTCTAAGGATGGGGCATTGACAGTGAACGTGTTATCGATTCCTTAATTTTAGTGGGGATTTGTTGTTTGTAATTCGACTTTTACTTTTTCACCCATAACCACTAATATGTTTATTTTATTTTATTAAACTAATAATTTCGTATAAAGATAGATTAGAACTTTTCAAAAGACTGGTGCTACTTTTTGTCGCTAAAATAAAGCTTGAAGGGAGTGAAATACTTACTGCTTGAAAGATTCTTTAGTGGCTAGACAGCAAAAAAAATTTTGGTTTTTTCTTATGGATTATTATGAAATTGATGATTTATGTTAGAAATAATAAGTAGGTAACTTTCCACTTTTCTGTTACCATGTTTCTAAGTAAATAAATAATTACACTAATTTTATTTATTTAGTACATATCGATACATATTTTAATAATAGATCCCAGCATTGTTATCGTAGTACCTAATTTGTCAGCAGCTTCTGGAGTTCTGAATTCTGTCTGATTCACATTCTGCTTCCATCGGTCTCATAATATTGTCCTGTAACTCGAAAGATTTAAACGAAATCTGTGACTAATTCGTGAATTCGTGGTTTTCTTTGTTTCAACAGACACAACATGCCAGTAAGTTTTACGCCTTATTTTTCTACATATTCAATTACTGTAATAATATTTCATGCCAGTAAGTTGAACAAACGCTTTTATTTACTCGTACTTACTTTTTAAATTGTAATAAAAGTTCAACTTTCCTTGATGATGATTTCCTTGATGAACAACTTCCTTCGTGATTCAACAATAATTTGGCTCACTTCTCCAAAGTTTATTTACTTAAGCTGAAAATTGTTCGTAAGACAAGTAAATACAATAATAATATTTTATGGTAGGTATTACTGGTCAGGGGGAGACCGAGGAGAGTTGTGACAGAGGTGGGTTGTAACAAACGCAATTTCTCTAAACAATTTGTATCACTTTATCGTTAGTAGGTATTCACATTCTTTAAAATGTGTGCGACCTAAGTAGCTGTTCTATATTTTTTTCGTGGATAACCGTGCTGGTTGTACAGTTAAGTATATGTATAACATACCTATATCTGTAAGACATTTTGTTAAATCTGTTTGTGCAATTGTTTGCTATCCCTAATAATATAAAATAAAATAAAAATTCGTTTATTTGCTCTTTCGACACTCCACAGCTTGCGTCAAATTGTCAGCTCGCTAACTATCTTAAGTAAAGAAATCGTCTTTGTGACAACTTACCTCTGTTAGTAACAACTCTCCTCGATCTCCCCTACTAATGGTTAAAGGCTAGTATTTTGGTAGGTAGCTATTTTTGCGTACTTCGGAATAAGTCTACACAAAGAAAAGTCTTTAGGTAGTACAATGTTTCATAACAATGGATAGTCCTGTAGCTGTCGATATCTCGTTACAGCTTTCAAGATGTTGTAACTTTATAACAATCACAGTTCAAAATTTTACGGATACAAGAAGGTAGTTTTCTGTCTAATTTTAATAATATCTAAGTACGTAGTACCTACTTGATTAGAAAATAGTACTAAACTAGACATAAAAACGTAGAGTAGCGTAACTTTCGAAGTTTTTGTACAGACAACGGCACTTGTGACGGCACGTCAAACTAAACAAACACTGTAGTGTAGAGTTTACTTTAAAAAAATGATTGTACTGTTGTCTGTTACTTCATGTTAAAAAAAAAACAAAGTTATTCCTACTTATATCATGAAAATCGTATTAATATTTTTGCGAAGGTCAAAGTTAAGGTCATGATTATAGTAGGGACCTTACTCATTGTTTTGGGAGCTGTATCGTTCGTTCGTTCCAATCCAAATGACGTCCACGGCTGGACAAAGGCCTTCCCCAAGGATTTCCATAACGACTGGTCCTGCACTGCCCGCATCCAGGGAGTTTATAAGTTGTTTTTTTTTTTCAGGGCAAAGGTTTGACTCCTTATCAGGGCAAGAGGCGGTGCTTCGGCGAGTACCGGTGCTCGCAGTGCCACAGGACTTGGATGAGCGGCAACTCCTGGGCCGACTGCGGCCAGGACTGCAACACGTGCAAAATCAAGGTCTACCCACACAAACAGGTAAAGCATCATCATCCATTTCAGCCACAGGACGTCCACTGCTGTACATAGGCTTCCCCCAATGACTTCCACATCGCACGGTTGGTAGGGGCCCGCATCCACCGCCTTCCTGCTACCTTTATCAGGTCGTCGGCCACCTTGTGGGTGGACGTCCCACGCTGTATTTTCCGGTACGTGACCTCCTCTCCAGAACCTTGCTCCCCATCGGCCGTCAGTTCTGCGTACTATGTGCCCTACCCATTGCCACTTCAGCTTGCTAATCCGTCGAGCTATATCAGTGACTTTAGTTCGACGGGTCCCAAGAACAAAGTCGTATCTTCAAAGTTGTCTAGTTGCAGTAGGAAGCATTAAAGTTACGCATGTGAATTACGTATCAGAACATCATAATTTGAAGTAAATTATAGTAAAAAGTATTTGTTTCTTTTGTTTACTTGTTTTTGCTGTGTAGTGTTTTGTTTTAAATATGTATTTTATTTAAAATTGATTCTTATGTAACAGTAAGACTTTGTTTTCTGGAATATTATATTATAAACTCAGACTTAACTACATATGCGACTTTGTTTTATGGAATCTTAATAGTCACAAAAAGTAGTATGTGTACAAGAGACTATGTACATCGATATTGGCTCAATACCAAAGTCGTATGTGTTAAATCTAGGTACCGTTATCGTATCTAAATGTAGATGGTAAAAGGAAAACTATTTTAGACAATCATTTTTAGGGTTCCGTAGCCAAATGGCAAAAAACGGAACCCTTATAGATTCGTCATGTCTGTCTGTCCGTCTGTCCGTCTGTCTGTCACAGCCTTTTTTTTCGAAACTATAAGAGCTTTATTGTTGAAACTTGGTAGGTAGATGTATTCTGTAAACCGCATTAAGATTTTGATGTAAAAATAAAAAATATTGGGGGCTCCCCATAATCCCCTTTTAGAACTGAAACTCAAAATTTTTTTTATCAAACACATACGTGTATGTGTAGTATCTATGGATAGGTCTTCAAAAATGTTATCGAGGTTTCTAAAATATTTTTTTTCTAAACCGAATAGTTTGCGTGACAGACGCTTCCAAAGTGGAAAAAAGTTGACTTATCCGTGGTAAATATATCGACAAATAACATTCGGTAGAAATAAAATTATGTTTTTCATCCCTAAAAATCCCTTATAAAATGTTAAACAAAACAAAAAGTTTCTAGTATCAAAATAAATTTGTTCTTTTACGTTTAAACATTAAGAACCCCGTCTTTGGGCCTGTTTTCCATACAAATAGCATTAGTCTAAAATAATTAATGAACTTCATAAAACTATTTACTTATTTACAATCAAATATTAAAAATGAATGTTCGTACAGGCTTTGTAACAACATTTATTTTTTATGTCTAACTGAAACTAAATAAATAGTTTAATGAAGTTCAACAATCACATTATAACGTCATCACTAAACCTTATAACAACGAAATTANTTGCTTTGATCACAATATACCCCCGGTACCGACGAACAAATATTTTTGTTCTGTTTTACTCCACGTATCTCACTTTAAAAGGTTTTTAACCTTAAGATATTCCATAAATTATCTAAAGGCCATTTGCAACAAAATTAGGCTACTGAAATTACTTTTATTTATTTAAGTAGGTATTGGGATAAACATTAAAATAGTAAATCAGTTCAATATCAGCTTTAGAACATTGGGTAAATATTTTAGGCGTCAACATTTACATACATTTCGCTAAGAAAACTCTCAAAAATGTATACAATATTAATTGTAGAATACAATAGTACATTGATAAATAGTCAAAAAATGTATATTAGCATTAATTGCAGAAAAATTAGCTAAAAGCAGTCATATTAACGAAATAATTCGACCTATATTTAATCAGTGCTAGATGCATTTTGTATTTAACTGGGTACGGTTTCAATTATAAGTTTGAGGACATTTTCTATTATTTGATTTTTACTAAAATTATATTTGTGTATTCCTTCGTCCACTTCTGTCTCAAATTTAAAAATAAAAATGTCACAAAGACAGCCTCCTTTCATTTTGTTGTATGGAGCGCAGATGACAAAAAAACTAAATCAAGGCAATACACTTACCTCAAAAAGCGCCAAATTATATTTAGCTCAGCTCTCAACAGCGCCATAGCTAGACAATGACAAAATAACTACACAAAAAGTAGTAAAGACATCTTCACAGAAAGCGCGGGAAGCCGTAGACAATCTAGAGTTTTGTGTCAAACTGACAGCTCGTGAATAGTGTTGTGCATCAATATCGATTACCGATTGATAGTTTAGTTATAACTATAGTATTAATGCTGATTTTTGGTGGTTTCTCGTTGATATTAATAGTGAATGGTACCGTGCTGGTGTTTTCAAATATTTGTTCGCGGTCGCTGGCGGTGGACTAGTTTGTCACTCGACGACCTAGCGGCTCTCTTATCTGCGCGCGAATTCCGCCTTCATTGCTGTAACAATACGGTTCATATTAGCACATTCGTCGTCATTGTTTATGAAATTGAATGTACACAGAATCTCGTTACAAGAAAAAACATCTCTGAAATCTGAAAAAAAAAATCAGAACTCGTGCCAATGAGTGCTAACGATTAACGAGCTGTCAAATAGTTTCAAAAACGGTTCTGTTACGTCGCATCATGTATCTTTTTTTATCATACCGTGTTGCTGCAAGTGACATCTCGCTCGCTCAGTCCTTTAGTTGGTTAATTCTGCTAGGTATATTAACTTTATGCTTTCGAGCTTGTTATTATAAACCTACAAGTTATGGTCCTACGTGGCGGAGGTAGATATTAAAAGTATTGACAAGCAACGAAACTTTTCATATGGTCTTTCGAGCCGGATATGAAATTATGAACCAGCGAGCTATAACTTTCTACATGGTCCTTTAAGCCGGTTATAAACAGGGAGCTTTATACATGGTCCTTCGAGCCGGATATGAACCAACGACTTCTAAGTTTCTAACCACTCACCGTCTAGTATCTCCTTCTTGATTAGCGTGAGCGGCTGACTTTTCTACATGGTCCTTCGAGCCGGATATGAACCAACTATTTATAACCACTCACCGTGTAGTATCTCCTTCTTGCTTGATCTGCGTGAGCGGCTGACTTTTCTACATGGTCCTTCGAGCCGGACAGAACTAATAGCTTCTGTACCAAGGAGCTACGTCCAGTGACTCACCGTCTAGTATCTTTTTGATCAGCGTGAGCGGCTGACTTTTCTACATGGTCCTTCGAGCCGGATATGAACCAACAACTTCTAACCACTCACCGTCTAGTATCTCCTTCTTGATCAGCGTGAGCGGCTAACTTTTCTGCATGGTCCTTCGAGCCGGATATGAAGCAACGACTTCTAAGTTTCTAACCACTCACCGTCTATCACCCATCGTCTACCAGACTATAGTATCTCCTTCTTGATCAGCGTGAGCGGCTGACTTTTCTACTTGGTCCTTCGAGCCGGATATGAGCCAACTATTTATAAGCACTCACCGTCTAGTATCTCCTTCTTGATCAGCGTGAGCGGCTGACTTTTCTACTTGGTCCTTCGAGACTTTTCTAATTCTACATGGTCCTTCGAGCCGGATATGAACTGACTTATAACCACTCACCGTCTAGTATCTCCTTCTTGATCTGCGTGAGCAGCTAACTTTTTATTTGGTCCTTCGAGCCGGATATGAAGCAACAACTTCTAAGTTTCTAACCACTCATCGTCTATCACCTATCGTCTACCAGACTATAGTATCTCCTTCTTGATCAGCGTGAGCGGCTAACTTTTTACATGGTCCTTCGAGCCGGATATGAGCCAACTATTTATAAGCACTCACCGTCTAGTATCTCCTTCTTGATCAGCGTGAGCGGCTGACTTTTCTACATGGTCCTTCGAGCCGGACAGAACTAATAGCTTATGTACCAAGGAGCTACGTCCAGTGACTCACCGTCTAGTATGTTTTGGTCAGCGTGAGCGGCTGACCTTTCTACATGGTCCTTCGAGCCGGATATGAACTAACTTAACCACTCACCGTCTAGTATCTCCTTTTTGATCAGCGTGAGCGGCTAACTTTTTATATGGTCCTTCGAGCCGGATATGAAGCAACAACTTCTAAGTTTCTAACCACTCATCGTCTATCACCCATCGTCTACCAGACTATAGTATCTCCTTCTTGATCAGCGTGAGCGGCTGACTTTTCTACTTGGTCCTTCGAGCCGGATATGAGTCAACGACTTCTAGGTTTGTAGCCACTTACCGTCTAGTATCTTTTTGATCAGCGTGTGCGGCTGACTTTCCTACATGGTCCTTCGAGACTTTTCTAATTCTACATGGTCCTTCGAGCCGGATATGAACTGACTTCTAACCACTCACCGTCTAATATCTCCTTCTTGATCTACGTGAGCGGCTAACTTTTTATATGGTCCTTCGAGCCGGATATGAGTCAACGACTTCTAAGTTTCTAACCACTCATCGTCTATCACCCATCGTCTACCAGACTATAGTATCTCCTTCTTGATCAGCGTGAGCGGCTGACTTTTCTACATGGTCCTTCGAGCCGGATATGAACTAACTTAACCACTCACCGTCTAGTATCTCCTTTTTGATCTGCGTGAGCTCGCGGCGCATCTCCTTCATCATCTCCTGCTTGAAGGCGTCCCACTCAGCCGCCGATACGCAGCCGCCTTCGTTGCCTCCGTTCACTTGCTGTGAAGACGAATTTATTGTAAGTTGTCATCAAATCAAATTAGTTTATTGCAATTGTAGGTACATAAACATATCATACATTGATGGATCTCAAAAGACAATGCCGGAAATTGGCGTCTTTTTTTTTTCGCGCGGCCATCGACCAATTGATTACAAAATAGTGTAATAAACCAAACTTACTATGGCATGTATACCTCTAAACTCAGTCTGAACTGAATTACGAGCATTAGAAGTTTGAACCGAACCTGGGTCGGCCTTTGTAGGGGGGTCGCGAGAGGTCGTAAAAACTACCTCAGTAAAAAAAAAAACAGTAAAGTTTTAAAGATATATTATCAGAAATCGAATTATGAAAATGCCTAAATGTTGTATGGATTGAAGTATTCGGTCCCTACAACATCTTTGGAACATTATAAAATGCATGAAAAAAAAGTGAGTGGTCGGGGGGTCGCGAAATATTTTTTCATGCTAGGGGGGTCGTGTCATGAAAAAGGTTAAAAACCACTGCTCTAGTGGGCCCGATCGAGGGGACTAATTGTGTTACCGAATATTATTTACCTTAAGTATGGTCTCCTCGCTGGCGGAGCCGAACCTCTTGCGGACAGAACGCGGTGACGCGGGCGCGGCGGCCGCCGCCGATTCCGAGCTCGCTGTGGGAAATATACCGTTTTGTTAGGCAATTCGTAGTATTAAGCCTTAATATGAGGCCATAAAGTTCGAAATAATATGAAGGCTAATTTCAAAAGAGGTCAATCGTCGAATCCAACTCGGCTGGGCAGCGTTTGGAAAGCTTCGCGATATTCTCACGTCCGAAATACCTCATAAGAAGGCTCAAGGTCACCTAAAGGGCGATGGAGCGTGCTATGCTCGGAGTTTCCCTGCATGATCGAATCAGAATCGCTAAAATTAAGTAGCTGTGGGCGGGGCATGAGTGGCGACCACGAGCCGGAAGACGTAGCGTGGGCAGGGCTCCCACTAGGTAGACCGACGATCTGGTCAAAGTGCCTGGATGCGAGCGGCGCAGGACCGGTGTTTGTTGAAATCCTTGGGGGAGGCCTTTGTCCAGCGGTGGACGTCTTTCGGCTGTAACCAACGAATCTCAAAAGGCAAGCAAATCAAATTTGTCTTTGTTTAAGGACTTTAATAGCTTCAAAAGGCAACGGTTACAGGTCCAACTGTACTGTAACGTGCGAGGCCACGTCTTTCAGACCAGGTGACGCCTATCACAAGGCTGTAAAGTTCAAAATGCAGCTATACGTACAGGATAGGCACAAGCGTTGCCGGAGCGCTCCCAAGTATTCAGAGGTGTGTATACCCACAAGGAAATAAAGTTCAAAACGCAACAGTTACAAATCAAACAAACAAAAAATTGTTTGTTTGCCGTTGCATGCAGTGAGCACGCGATTCTTCAGCATAGCGGAGCGCTACCAAATCTTTTTGGGTGTGACTATCGGTTTAAATCCTCTTATCACAATACAGTTAGGTTCATAATGATGACACAGGGCGGCCTCTCTTATGACAAGGCAGTAAGGTTCAAAATGCCAATATACTCACAAGCGTTGCCGTTACATGCGGCTGGTAGACGGTGCGGCAGCGTAGCGGAGCGCTCCCAAGTCTTCATTGGCGTGTTGTTCACTGAGTTGTCGTTCGAGGACTCCTGGAACGAATAATGTTTAAATTAAGATAATGCAATACGATAAAAGAACATCACAATGATAATTATCAGAAGAGCACGACCCTTTCACACAACTTTTTTGTACGTCGCTTCGTAGAGGTACTACGCAACCTTCACCGAATGACTAGTGCGTTAAAACAATTCGTTTACCCATTTATGCTCGGTCGAGATGCAAGCGTCGCTTGGCGAGCGTGCATTGTCAGTAGTACATCCATCAAGATAGCTTCGATACTTTGATCGATCATAGATACAATAAGCCTCCTCTACACGGCTATCTTGTGTTGTCTGTGCAGTCGGTGTCAAATAGTTCGTTACACCCAAAGTGGACAAAGTTGACAATACAAGGTTGTTTCCAAGTAACAAAGACGTGTTGTGAACTTATTGGCCACTTTGGGTGTAACGAATTACATATTTGACGCTGACTGGTATAGGGACAGTACGACTAGTGTGTTAACTTAATAGGCTAGATTACAAAATTTCAATTATTTGTCCGTTAGACAGATAAATTAGAAAATACTTATTAGACTGTTATTTTTGATTTTCTTTCATAACTAAATAAAAGTGCTACATCGAGTTGAAAAGTCGCGTGACGTCACTTTTGAACAGATTTCTTACTGAATAGTGACCTCACGCGAATTTTCAATCAACTCAATTATAATACTGTAATGTTCGATTATAAAAAAATGAAAAAATACGTGTCCAATATTTTTTTAATAGCTGTCTGACGGATTAAATAGAATTTCGATTTCATCTCAATCAATTGAAAAAAACTTTGTGTTGTTAACTTTTTGGCCATTTTGAGTGTCACGTGCCATTTGATGATCATTGGTATAGGGACCGATCGACTAGTGCGTTAAAACAATCCATTCACCCACCTCAGCGCGGTCGAGGTGCGCGCGGCGGCGTGCCAGCGTGCGCGCCATTTCGTGCATCATGCAGTGCAGCGTTCTCCCAAGTTACTAAATAGATCTCAGAGACAAAGTGGCGGAACCTTAAACGCGGCTCGACAGAGCACTCGCTGTAAATCAATCTACCAATGTCACGACGACGGCAGAACGGGAGCTAGTTAATTTGTTGAAGTAGCGCGTTTAAGACAATCCATTTACCTCCGCGCGGTCGAGATGCGTGCATCATGCAGTAGATAGCTTTTGAATAATGTAATATTGGGAGGTCCATCCTTTGTTTTCTTGACTTTCGTTTCGCGTATTGCGTTTAATTATAACGGCTAGGTCAATCTTAATAACACTAGAGTAGGAAAACTAAATAGGTAGACTGTATTACCTACTCTCTTTACTCTATTCTACCGTAGACTTGATCTAATGTGCCGCTAGGTGTATAAGGGTCACCGAATGACTAGCGCGTTAAGATAATCCATTTACCACAGCCCGGTCGATGTGCTTTCATCGTTCGTTTATAATAATGTAATATTGGGAGCTTAATTTTTTTTTGGCTTCCACGGTTTGCGTATCTACAACGGAATGGTCAATCTTTGACTCTTTTTCTCTCTTTATAGGAGCAAACGAGATAGATATACTGTCACGGTGACAAAAAGTAATCCCTACGTAACGCGCCTAGTTAAGAGTGATCTTGACGATAGTAAATAAGTAACATTAAGAGCGCTTTCACATCAGGGCGTTAGAGAAGCGCGACAGCAGCGGATCAACGGAGTTTTTACAATGTGGAGGCAGGCATCCGCTGTCACACAGTATGAAATTGTCAGACGCGCGCGTCGCCTAAATGTTAAAGCGCTCTTATAATTTAGTGTTTTAGCTTGTACCGATCGACTAGTACGTTAAAACAATCCATTCACCCACCTCAGCGCGGTCGAGGTGCGCGCGGCGGCGTGCCAGCGTGCGCGCCATCTCGTGCATCATGCAGTGCAGCGTGCCGCGCGCGCTCCCGCCCGACGACGACGACGAGCCCGAGTGCTCCGCCCCGCCCGGGGGCGACGCCGCCTCCGGGGCCGCGCCGGTCTGTGGACGGAGAAAAACTATTTGTTAAAATATTTGATATAAATTAAAAAAAAAACATCCCTTCTTCTTCTTCTTTTTTGATGATGTTGGCAATACACGTCGAGGTCGACTTGATTAGTGCCATTTTCAAGTATATATAAGTGATACAAGTTACAAAATGAGATCAAGTAATGATATTATGAAGGATGATAGATGATACCCCTTCCCACCCTTTGAGTCTCAGTAAAGTTGTGGTGCTTTACTGAGACTTCCTATGGACAACTTGAGAGAACCAGAAGAATCACGATGCACTGTTTTGCTTATGCACGTTCACGAACACTCAATGGTTAATAATCCACCATTATTTGTTCCGTGCCAATATCCGGAATCCATCTTGTTGAGTAAAGCCCCTGTCTTTTTTCATGGTTTTTTCGTCTTAGCAACTTCCTCCCTTCGACTTCCGGCGCCACCATCGCTCGTTTTGGTGGGGGTAATGGCGGCGACCGGAATATGGCCTGGCTTTTTGATCATTATAGCGTCGTCTTTCGTAGTGGTAACACGTCTTAGCAATAATTATTGTTTTTTCTTATAAAATCTACCCAAGTATATTTTAATAATAAAAGTGAATCCTCCCTTCATTATGGAGAACGAAAATAGTGAAAATGTGCAACGAAGTGATAATTTTGGTGAAAGTTCATCGCGAAGAAGAAGTCGTTCTCCAAGTACGAGCAGTGCGTCGTCGTCGGAGGATTCGAGTCCGGAAAGGAGACCGAAACGATCGAGAAAGGAAAGCGTGAGTGACATGAGATTTGAATTTCTGTCGCAACAGGTAGCTTTTTTGACTAATTTAATTACTCAAAAGCAATTAGAGCCACAAGCATGCGTGGCGCCGGCGATCCAAGAGGTCAGTGAACCCGTCCGTTGTCCGGTTGGCGAGCTGGGCCTCCGCCCACCGCCTGACACGGTTGCAACCGATAGTCAGCAATTAAAATTATCGGATTTGTCGACTTCACTGAAGGATCCGCCATTTCCTAAAGCTAACGAGACTCATTTAGCTAAATTATCTCAGTTACAAAGATTTAAATGCAACGATTGGTATGCAATTCGTTTTTCTGAAACACAGAAAAAATACCTAGCTACCCCGGGTTTTATAGAACTCAATATCAACGATGAATTGAGACGTTTCAAAGAGTCTAGTGCCAATGAAGATCGTTTGTATCTTTTAGAGAGGACCTACGCTCTATTAAAATGTTTGGAAAATAGTGCACCTGATTCTAGCAATCTATATCAGGTATCCCGTCGTGCTGCGATTTTATTGCTGTTAGCATCGGGACGCAGAGTACACGACCTTACCCTACTGATAATCGACCCAGAGTCGTGCGTGGACGAGGGCGATTCAATACTTCTGTGGCCTAAATTTGGATCTAAAACTGACAGCTGTAGTTACAGGCAATCGGGTTGGAAACTTAAGAAGCACCCAAACCAAAACCTCGATTGCGTGTATTGGATTCGACAGTTGATTGCAATATCACAAGATCGTCGGAGACAAGGTAATATCAAAGAGCTTTTTATTACTGCGAGGGGAGACCCAAAACCGGCATCCAGAACGGTTCTCGGCGGCTGGATCAAGTCCGTGCTGCGGGATGCAGGCGTGGAGGCCCCGCCGGGCTCTGTGCGGTCCGCCGTAGCGTCTCTAAATTGGATAGAACATTTTCCAGTAGACCAAATTCTTGCAACCGGTAACTGGAGGCAAGAGCATACATTTAGGACCTATTACCAAAAAGAAATAATTAATCAAGCATCTGATACTGATTTATCGCACTCGGTTTCTCTATCTAATTTCTTTGAACCGGTGCAGTAATTTATGTTACAAATTAATAAATAGATTATTGAAAGTAGACTAGATTTTGCCTGATGATCTGTAGTATACATTCATTATCATGAAAATATAGATTTAATATACCTATAACCTGCATTTATTTTTCATAAGACATAGCATCATCATTTGACTACCAGGAGATAACAAACACATCACTCAACAAGATGGATTCCGGATATTGGCACGGAACAAATAATAGAGAGTTTTAACTAACAATAAAACTTACCTATTATTTTTCCAACAATATCCGGAATCCAGGTAATGCCTACCTGGTACATCGTGAGTAAGTATAATGATCAAAAAGCCAGGCCATATTCCGGTCGCCGCCATTACCCCCACCAAAACGAGCGATGGTGGCGCCGGAAGTCGAAGGGAGGAAGTTGCTAAGACGAAAAAACCATGAAAAAAGACAGGGGCTTTACTCAACAAGATGGATTCCGGATATTGTTGGAAAAATAATAGGTAAGTTTTATTGTTAGTTAAAACTCTCTATTATTACACATGAATAGTCGCCCAAACACGAATTTGAGGAAATAAAACAAATCCGCTAACATGACGCTTCAGATTCCCGCCAAGAAGTCAAAAACATCCCTTATTTCCTGTCCGGCAAAAGTGTGGAGTATTCATATTTATTAAAGATTTTTTTATTAGCATCAACATTAGATTATTCAGTCTGCCACTGGCAAGAACACGATCCTTTCAAGTTTACAGAGGAAAATTAAGAATGTAGCCTACATCCATTTCTCATACTGGTTCACATAATTTAGTCTACATCAATTTCTCACACTGGTTCACATAATTTCCTCCTCAATTTTCTTTTTAAAATACCTGCGGAAAAAGTGACAGCGATCCCTACTTTACTGGAATAAAGTGATAACCGTTAAAACTGATTTCAACCAAAAAACTGGGATAACCGGGACTATTATGTTTTAAAAATCCGAGACTGAGCAAAACCAGTATTTTTTTAAATTAACAAATATTCAAGTAAAATAATTGAAGTGGACTTGCCGAATCCCTCGTCTCGCCGCGCTAGTTTAAACGATGTCATTCGCTTGGCAAAATCAAAATTATATTTATTTGTTTAGACTAATTAAATTAGTACTTGCAAATCGTCAAATGCTCTTAAGGAGCCTATACATGGCTTCTTCTGTTGTTCTTTTCCCAGCCATTTCTGTTTTTATACGGCAAGAAACTGAAGCTGAAGAAATGGTATCACCACACACCGCGGCGGGCGTTACCTTAGCGGGAGTGTTTCCGGCGCCGCTGGTCCGGCAGGAACACGTTGCTAATTGCTCATAAGATAGGCCCCCTTAATTAATTTATTGTCCGTGGTGCATAATCTTTTCTTAAAGGTTTTAAACTTTTGTTTGTCACCTGTCATCCGCTTTGCAATGGAGGGCAGTCGAACCTTAATTTCGAACTCCTATGTTCTTCTGATTAATTTCGTTGCGGGTCCAATGACAGTTTAACTTTCCCCCGGGACAAACTTGACCTTCATTGGTTGGGTTTTTGTGACGGTCAAGCTGTAGATCCTGGCTACCCAGGAGTCGCAGTGGTGGGAACGAGAGGAGGGAATAGTCCCGTAGTCGGCGGGGTCCGGCGGCGGCGGCGGGGCGGGCGTTACCTTAGCAGGAGTGTTGTTCCCGGCGCCGCTGGTCCGGCGGAGGCGCGCCTGCTGCAGCTGGTGCTGAAGACCGGCGGGGTCCGGCGACGCCGGGCGTTACCTTAGCGGGAGTGTTCCCGGCGCCGCTGGTCCGGCGGAGGCGCGCCTGCTGCAGCTGGTGCTGAAGACCGGCGGGGTCCGGCGGCGGCGCGGGCGGCGCGGNTATTCAATCAATTCATACATTATTTAGTAGGTAAAAGAAAGTTGAAGACTCTGTTGTTACTTCTGTTTCTCACATGCGAATATTTATTATATTATTAATAATTATTGGGTAGATACTCACAAGCGTTGCCGTTGCATGCGGCTGGTAGACGGTGCGGCAGCGTAGCGGAGCGCTCCCAAGTCTTCATTGGCGTGTTGTTCACTGAGTTGTCGTTCGAGGACTCCTGGAACGAATAATGTTACTTGAGATAGTGCTATACAAAACACAAAACCATCATCATCGTCAGAGGAACTTTTTGTCGCTCCGTAAATCGATCGCGAAATTGAATCTGTCGCAGTCTTTACAATTTATATTTATTTATTCGATTCTTCGATTACAGTCGCTGTAAGAATTATGTGAAATTAGTAAAAGGTCACCCGTTCACGTCTATTCAATAGACATATAAATAGAAAGCATTCTGGAATTTCTGGAATGCCTCGATGTATGACAGGTGACACTCCTACGTATTTAGCCAGCGCTGTCCGTATCCAAGTTCTTCTTGCGACCTTCACCGAATGACTAGTGCGTTAAAACAATTCATTAACCCAACCCGAGCGTGCATCATCAGCAACGCGTCCATACAGATAGTATCGATACTTTGATCGATTAAAGATACAATACACGGATATTATTATCTCGTGTTGTCTTTACAGTCAGCGTCAAACAGTACGTGACACTCAGTAGCCAAAAAGGTCGCAACACGCGCTTGTTATAATTGGAAAAAACCTTGTGTTGTTAACTTAACTTTGCGGCCATTTTGAGTGTCACGTCCTATTTGATAATCATTGGTATAGGGACCGAATAACTAATGCGTTAAAACAATCCATTCACCCACCTCAGCCCGGTCGAGGTGCGCGAGGAGGCGTGCGAGCGTGCGCGCCATCTCTTGCATTAATGTAATATTGGGAGGTCAACCCTTTGTTTTCTTGGCTTTCGCAACGGCTAGGTCAATCTTAATAACACGAGTAGGTACTTTGGACAAGAATAAGTAGGTATAGTCTGGTCCGTGAGCACGTAGAATTTTGTCCAATGACCCCTAGCTACCCATCCTTATCGCTCGCGCGTAATTATGTTGCTATCGCGCTCGCACACTCACTGCGGGTGCCAGTCGCACAGTCGCGACAGCAATATAATTACGCGCGAGCGATAAGGATGGGTAGCTAGGGGTCATTGGACAAAATTCTACGTGCTCACGGACCGGGCTTTAGACTGAATACCTACACTCTTTACTCTATTCATTTGTCTACCGTAAACTTGATCCAGTGGCGGCGTAGCATAGGTTGGCACCCGGGGCGGCCCCCCCCCCCCCCCGTCATATATAAATTATAGCCTAAGGCACCCCAGAATGGCACCCCCCCTTTTTAAAGACACGACCGTCCTTGCCATGCAGACGTCAGTGAGTACTAATGTACTAATCTGAGCGACTTTTGTCACCCCCTGATGCTTGGCACCCGGGGCGGACCGCCCCCCCCCTTACGCCGCTACTGACTTGATCTAATGTGCAGCTAGATGTATAAGGATTAGAATGACTAGTGCGTTACGATAATCCCTACGCTACGCGCCTAGTTAAGGCTAGGATTTACCGCCTCGATGCCGTGCAATCATTTTCCTCAGCCCCCGCACACCTCACGATGACACTCGCGCTGACACTTGCGCGACGCGTTGACGCCACAGTGTAAAAACATGCCGTAAGTTGGATCAAACCGTAATCTTCAAATAGTTAATAAATAAATAATAAATATCCTTCGACATAATATTTTAACACTGCGCCTCTAGTCTCAAACTAAGCAAAGCTTGTACTATGGGATATAAAAATACTTAAATACTTTTTTTGTAAATAAATACATATTATGGTTAGAAAACACCCAGCCCGAAACAAACATTATTATGATGTTCATGCACACAAATGTTTGTCAATCAATAATGTCAAATGAAAGATGATAATAATAATATTAAGTCAAACAAATACTTTTTACCGACAAAAATAGTAAATGATCACAAAAATTTAAACTCCATTTCAATATGAAATACTAATGTTCTTACATTATGCTATTCTATTTAAGCAGAATTGATAACTCGCCCTATATTCTTTCGTCATCAAAAAGTAGGTACCTAAAATTATCATCTAATTGTAAATTATGGCAACTATTTCCACATAATTATTTGAAAATATAAGGCAAAAATGTTTAAGTTTTAGACTAGGCGCACACCGTTGATTTTTAGTTGGCCGATAGTTGTGCCCGATTTTAATTTGTATAAAGAATCGGCCAAATCGAATCGGCGTAGTGTGCGCACTCCCATACATGCCCATACTGATCAACTTCCCGACTAAACTATCGGCCAACGAAAAATCAACGGTGTGTGCATACTCTTACAAAACTATGAAGAGCAGTTATCTCGAAAACCATACAAGATATTTTATCGAAAAACTTGACTGAAAAAAGTAGTAAATTAAATGAGTTTTCATTTTGTTGCAGTAGTCATATCGCTAGGACGCATAGTTATTTATTTAGATAGTTTCTGAGATATAAGCGAAAAACCCAAAAATGGGACCTTCAAAGGCTGCGATCGAGAACTTTTGTCGTTCACTTAAGTTACACGTGTTTTATGAGTTCGGTGATTTTTGTTTGTTAGGAAAAATGGATCAAAGAATTTGAATCAAGATTTGCTTATGAAATGAATAATATCATTTATGTAAATATATTTAAACTCCTACTGTTTTTTATCATAACACTTTTATCCCTAAACATTACCATAATATTTTCACTCATACCATAGAATAATAATGAATACTACGTACAGAAGTACGTTCTTCGCGAATAAAACGTAAGGCCACAGTTCTAACCTAACCTAAACCAATAATAATGAATAGACCGATTCGTTTCTGGAACTTGACTGAATGACTGGAGCGGGACTCTGGCTTCGCTCGCTCGGCTCGGGCGTTGTGGTCACAGTTCTAACCTAACCTAAACCAATAATTATGAATAGGACCGATTCGTTTCTGAAACTTGACTTAATGACTGGAGCGGGACTCTGGCTTCGCTAGATATTATTAGATATGACTTTGAATAATAGTGTAAAATATAGTTATGTTTAGAAAATCTAGGAGAACAAATAAAAGTGTAATAGATGTTTATTGCTAAAGACATTATGAAGTTGAATGATTCGGAATTATGAACATTAGAGATAGAGTAGTTAGGAATTGTGATTGTTAGGATGAAAAATTTTAGGAAGAACATTTTCGGACTTCCAATTTTCGGAGTTGAAAATTTAGGTGAACTTTGGCGCACCCCCATTATTTGCATACCTAAGGCTAAGTTGCACCATCTAACTGTAACTGTAACCTTAACGATAACCGGTGTTTTTTGTATGGAGTTTGACATGTTTTTGACGTTTGTAAAAGTCAAAGTAGTCCTTGTTTTCTGTTGCCAACGCACCCGTACACAAACCTAAAGTTGCGGTGACAGCAAAAAAAAAATGGGTTTTAAAATGCACAAAAATCCATGAATATAAGGATGATGGGCATATTGGGCGTTAAACCAACAGAAACAAAAAGTATACTAAATTAAAGCTTAATACTAGTACTTCATTTCATAGTATGACAACAACCCTGAAATACGCGGGGATACGGAGATAGAGGTCGTTGAATAAGTTTCCATAGTATTTCACATCACATTGGGGTAATAAAAATTGTATTAGGTCAATTAGATTGCTTTTATCGATTATATTGATAGTATTATTTCATATCTTTCTATCGATTCTATCGATTTAGTAAGTATATACCGAATAAATATTAATCGATTATTCGATTGCAATAATCGATTATATTGCTGAAAATAAGAAATTGAATTAACAATTAAATGATAGTAATGATGGTAATCAATAAAATCGATTAATCGAATTGTTAATCGATAAATCGTTATTTGGCAATATCGATTAATAATCGATCCGTGATCGATTATGTAACAACACTACAACTTAACTGGTAGAAATCTCATTGAAACGACTGTGTTCATGTCATTTCTCTAATTGGTACCTAGGTATGGTCCTACGCTTATAATGTAGAAGATGGTTTAAATATACCATTTGTTGGCCCAACTCCTAAACTGTTGGACATATATAATGGATAAATAACTTAATGTATTTAAAATGTAAGTAAATAAGTTATATTAAGTAATAATATTTTTTGTTTGCGCAATGAAGCACCTATTACTATTACACATTGTGTCAATTTTCAAGCAAACCCGGGAGTTTTTGGTAGTTATTTATATGAAAATATATTTCTGATATTAAGTCCTAACAAATAATAGTAGTTACATTTCTGTTGGTTTTACGCCCAGATTCCATAGAAAAGTGCCCATCATCCTTTCTCTAGATCTGACTCACAGTTACGTTAATAGCTTTTTTCCGATTTAAAAAGTAATTCAGATGCTTAATATTTGAGGAAATTGTCGAGGCAATGTCCTTTTTAGGCCTTTTTGGCGAGTCAAGAGATTCATCCGACTGGTCGTGTTTAGGTGAATTTAATCCTTAAATGCAATGTTGAACTTAAATGTTCGTGCTTTTCTACCAATTTCTAGTGAATTATTAAGCTGCCTACCCAATTTTTTCTGATTTTTGTGATGGCTAGTGTCATGTCTATGGACGTGTCGTATGACGTTTCCATAGAAGCTTTTCGCCCGCGCGAAAAGCGCCCGATCGGCGGGCGACCATTTTGTTCCAGTGACTTTTAGCACGTGGCGCGATTTAAAATTGCGCCGTGAGTTCTTCGAATAACCGCGCAAATAACCGCTCCCGTGAGTTCTGAAATAAAACCGCAATTCCACAACAGCCGCGGGCGCGGGTGAAAATCGCGCCGTGAGTTCTTAGCCGTAGTATTCAACTATGGTATTCAAATACTACATCAGTGTGGTGATAGGTATTTGCATCAATTTTTGTTGCGCGACCAACATTACCTTAGCGGGAGTGTTCCCGGCGCCGCTGGTCCGGCGGAGGCGCGCTTGCTGCAGCTGGTGCTGCAGGCCGGCGGGGTCCGGCGGCGGCGCGGGCGGCGCGGGCGGCGGCGGCGGCGGCGGCGGTGACACGACCGCGCCGGGCGGCGGCGGCGGCGCGGGAGGCGCGGCGGCTGGTTGCTGCTGTAAGATTGTGAAGATTACAAACTTCAGTGGTTATTCATATTTATTTTCTTTATTTGGGATAGCATAGACAAGTGGAAAAAATCGGAACTAATAATCCAGTATAGTAGCGCCCTTTTAATAATGTGTATCAGTGCTTGGACAATTATAAAAAAATGACAAGAACCATCCGGCTCGAAGGACCACACAACAATGTACAGTGTCCCAAAAAGCTCGGACCGTGGTTGTAAAATAAAACACTGATCCAAGTGAAGTGAAGTATATTGAACCTTAATGTTTTAACTTAAATAGCCAGGAAAAAATCAAATGATATCGCGATTGAACGAAGCACATCGCCATCTAGCTACGCAATTTCAGACCCTATGACTTTTGACATTTTCCATAACCTAAACTATGATAGACGCAATCTCAAACAATTCCAATGATCGCAAACGTGATTAGTATTGAAGCTATATTTATTACAAATTTTAATGCAACTTACCATAGGTGGCGGTTGAGGCGCGGCGGGTGGCGTTGGCGGTGCAACAGGCCCCTGAAAAAAATTAAAGAAGTCATTTATCTTTATTTAATAAAACCATGGTATTCTGTGTCCTATGTTTTCACAGAACTGTGATATCTAAGCTGAGCTTTGCATTATAATGGATAGTGTAGGTGTAGGTAGATGTGATATTTTATAATTACGCTCTTGTACTGAATGCTTATTTTTTGTGATAATTGTTATTTTTTTGCGATTTTTAAGTGTTTTGGTGATCACATAAATTCAAAGCCCAGCGTAAGCCTCGTGAACTGTAAACATGTACTCACGTTGTTAAGCGGCGCGGGCGGCGCGTGCGCCAGGTTCTGGTGCGGCGGGACGGGCGGCGCCGCCGGCGCTAGGGTCATGTTCGGCGGCATCGGCGCGCTGCAACACACATCACTACTGTTAGTACGGGACTAACTGGATATTAAGCCTATGGCGATAGGGTCCCATAATAGGGATGTTTCCTCGGTAAAAATAAGAGTTAGAATTAGTCCGTCGATTAAGTAACTTATCAAAAAATACTCGACACGTATTTTTCACTTTTTCAAACTAATGAAAATTTAAAGAGATACAGAGCCCCAAATTTCAAAAGAACAGGCCCGTGACGCCAAGGCGTGCTTAAAAGTGTAGCACTTTACGACGACACGCGGAACTTCAACGCATCTTAGCTTCGTAACGTAAATATTGACGGACGAAAAAGGAAACTAGCCTATTCTGGGATTGTAGTCAAATACAACTATAGCAATAGCGGCAGAGACATGTTCGGCGGCATCGGCGCGCTGCAACACAACACTACGTGAGTACGGATGGGGGCAACGCCGAAACACTGTTCACGTAGTTTCGTGTCTATAGGTCATAATACAGGATGGAACTTTTAATACTGTAGACGGAAAATTTGATTTATCAAGTTTGTTAGTGAGATTTCATCCTTATACTTAAACCCTAACGATCGATGCAATAAAAATACAGGGTGTAATTTTTAACAAATTTTAGTTGGTTCGTTTCCCGGGTGTGGCAAGCAAATTTTTAGAAATCTTTGAATGCAGTTCTATTTCTTTTCCCAAATTAAGGAATGTTTCCTTTGAGTAAAATTTTCTATCTACAGTATTAAGAGTACTTTCCCTCCAGGTGACATTACAAAATTCCACCCTGTATGGTCTTTGTGTGAGATGAGAGAGATAGCAACTTCTGATGCTGGAGACGTACTCGGAAACGTTCAGTGAACGATTTTCCAGCTCGAGCTGAAAGATTTCGGGCTTCGGAGCTGGATGAGCTAGAGCTGGAGCGTGAACCCAATACGACTTAAAAAATCTCACGCAAAATTTTGGGGGCGCGCCGCTGCTGGTTACCTGTTAAAAGCAACAGGCGCGTGCCTCTCGCATGAGGACTTATGCCCGTTTTCACCATCAATACCTAATTTATAAGTGACCCCCTATGGTAACAAATAACGGAAATTTTGTTTACATAGGAGTCACTTAAAAATTAGGGTTCGATGGTGAAAACGGGCATTAGTTACTCAGAAGCATTTTCCTGGATGCAGGCCGCTACCAATCGTGCGATGTGGAAGTCATTGGAAGAGGCCTATGTTCAGCAGTAGACATCCTATGGCTGGAATCGGCCGTTTGGTGTAGTGGTTCGAAACGGACTACTATTCCGGAGGTAGCGGGTTCGATTCCCGCACAGTACAAACATTTGTGTGCATGAACATATTTGTTTGTATTGGACTGGGTGTTTTCTAAGTATAATAAGTATGTATTAGAAAAAAAAAAGTATTTAAGTATGTTTATATCCGTTGTCTAGTACTCATATTACAAGCTTTGCTTAGTTTGGGACTAAAAGCGCAGTTTAGAATGTCTAAGGATATTTATTTATTTATTTATTATGGTTGGAATGATGATAAAGGTAGCCCACGTTTTTTTTTTTTTTTTTNGGCGGCGGCGCGGGCGGCGCGGGCGGCGGCGGCGGCGGCGGCGGTGACACGACCGCGCCGGGCGGCGGCGGCGGCGCGGGAGGCGCGGCGGCTGGTTGCTGCTGTAAGATTGTGAAGATTACAAACCTCAGTGGTTATTCATATTTATTTTCTTTATTTGGGATAGCATAGCGAAGTCGAACAATTCTGAAAAGTGGAAAAAAATCGGAACTAATAATCCAGTATAGTAGCGCCGTCTTATTAATGTGTATCAGTGCTTGGACAATTATAAAAAAAATGTCAAGAACCATTCCAATGATCGCAAACGTGATTAGTATTGAAGCTATATTTATTACAAATTTTAATGCAACTTACCATAGGTGGCGGTTGAGGCGCGGCGGGTGGTGTTGGCGGTGCAACAGGCCCCTGAAAAAAATTAAAGAATTCATTTATCTTTATTTAATAAAACCATGGTATTCTGTGTCCTATGTTTTCACAGAACTGTGATATCTAAGCTGAGCTTTGCATTATAATGGATAGTGTAGGTAGGTATTATATTTTATAACACCGCTTTTTAGCAATCGGTCCAAGGCCATCAAATCTGCCACGCATTTGACACACTTCCCCTCTTGTACTGTTTAATGCTTATTTTTTGTGATAAATTTTTCTTTTTTGCGATTTTTAAGTGTTTTGTCGGTCTCTACTTTTGGTGATCACATAAATGCAAAGCTCAGCGTAAGCCTCGTGAACTGTAAACATGTACTCACGTTGTTAAGCGGCGCGGGCGGCGCGTGCGCCAGGTTCTGGTGCGGCGGGACGGGCGGCGCCGCCGGCGCTAGAGTCATGTTCGGCGGCATCGGCGCGCTGCAACACACATCACTACTGTTAGTACTGCGAATTGAGTTTCAATAGATTTGGATCTCAGAGAGATGGACATTCATGGTTATTTTAGTGGGTAGGCCTTCTAGCAGGGAGAGCCCCATATAACCCGTCGCCATGACCACAGCGGCGGTTACAGTTTTATGCATTTTTTCCACATAAAAAAAATATTTGGATGACTGCTGTAACTGTAATTCAAATTTTAAATAAAAAGCTTTAAATTGACGTTTGTAAAATTTTAAGTTCTACTTTAATTTTATGGATGGATAAAATGCCTAATTTTATATCTGCTAGAATACGCACAAGAGGGGATTTACTTCCTCCACCTTTCTTATCCTTATCCTTGGTAGGTCTCAGTCAACTGACACAAGCGCGTGCTTCTCGCATAAGGACTTAGTTACTCAGAAACATTTTCTTGGTGTTCAAGCTCACCTGTGTTGGTGCGGTGGTGCGTGGGCTTGCTAGTATAGACACAGGCGCGTGCCCGGAGGAATTCCCGGGCCCGGTAGGTGACTAAATGAGTATCGTTTTGCAATCTCTACATTTTCGTGGGGTTTGGGCTTACCTATTAGTGCGGAGATGCGTGGGGGTAGATGCGAGCTTGCTAGTACTTCTTTATTACTCATGTTTAGTGACTCAGAAGCATTTTCCTGGGGTCTGGGCTCACCTGTTGGTGCGATGATGCGTGGGCGTGGGCGTGGGCTGGCTGGGCTGGTGCGGCAGCGTGTGGTGCACGCCGTGCGGCGGCGGCGGCGGCGCCGGCGCTGTCGCCGGACCCGCCGGCGCTTGCTGGAGAATATAATTGATGTCACATCACTGGTTCATACAAATGGGTTAATAATATTCCAGATACAATAGAAACTTTTAAGAAATTAAAGCTGGACAACTTTGAAATTCTATCCGACTTTATACTAAAAGTCCGGTCGCCGAGCACGTAGAATTTAGTCCAATGACCCCAAGCAGCCCATCCTTATCGCTCGCGCGTAATTATATTGCTGTCGCGACTGTGCGACTCGCGGCAGCAGAGCGATAAGGAAGTGCTAGGCGACCGGGCTTGAGCATGATAATCTAAAATCTTATTCTAGTGGTAGTAATTAACAATCTTGTGTACTTGTATATTAAGTTTGAAGCCTGATGTTTCCCACTCGAATTTGGTCCCATTCGCATTTTGTCCCATTCGCAAAATGGTTACACTCCGACAAAGTTAAAGTTATTTTGGAAAAAATAGTTTAACTTGTAGGTTGAAAGTATGACCATCGTGACGAAATGCGAATGAGATGGTCTGCGTCAAACCCGTTTAGGTAGATTTTTGTGAAAATTACAATTACAACTTTGATAATAGTGCAATAGATTAAAACAAAAGTATCTCACAGACTCGGTATTTACGAGAAATCAATATACCTACTACAAACACTGTCCTTAATAACAACAATCTGAGTACATGTGCTCAATCAAAAATACGTGAGCACTGAAAAAAAAGAAAGATTAAAATCTATTCACAACACAAAATTAACTGAAAAAAAAAACCACAAAAGTGAAGATAAAAGAACCAACGTCAAAAGAATGAAAAAAAATATTCAATCCTTATTTTTACAAAACCTACTTTTTTGCTTTTAGAGCCATTTAGAACTTATTTTACAACAGTCGTGTACATACAGACTATCTACAGCATTACTACCAAGCGTGACAGGAAAATGAACCCTATCGCCAACGACATAAGCACTGACCTGCTGATGAGGCGGCGCGTGGTACTGACTGGGTGCCGCGTGGTACTGCGCCGGTCGTTCCTATTTATTTAGAATGGTTTATGTTAAATGTATGTGATATGTACAAGCGACCAGCCTAAGCTGACCTTTGGGGATAGATTTAGTAGGCAGTTCGTAATGGCGCAGTTACACTATGCGAAGTTGATCGAACACGCGCACGGAAGTATGGGCGACGCGCGGTGAAACGAAATAAATTGAGTGTTTACACTATCTGATTCGATCAAGTTCGCGCATAGTGTAACTGCGCCATTAGGCAAAGAGAAATGGTAGTGATATGAAAATATCTAGATTGCTATTACTAATTTCTGAACTAGCTAGACTGGTAAAAATGATTATTGACTGTATATTTGTTAAAGTTGTTCATTCTAGCTCAGAAATTAGGTAATAATAATCTAGATCAGAATAAAAACTTGTGAATACAGCATAGTGAATTACGAATGGGGTTTTATACAATGAAGAATGTTAGGGCAAAATATATTTAGTTAAAACGTAGCCTTTATGACATTATTCACTTCAGAGCTGAACTTTTCTTCACAAAAAAATTACGTAAGCTAATTCAAGCTTCCAAGGTATGGAAGCTTGAAAAAGCTTAAGTGATTTTTTTGACCTTGCGTTTCAGTCACGTATCATGACATCATGTGATCAGGAAGGCTTTATAGAAATAGATGATGCTACAGATTAAAAGAGACGGCCGCTAGTCCAGTCTATTCCAAAAATGTTGTCACCTGCGTGGAATTCAGAATTCTTTTACGCCGTGGTTAAGACACGTGGCATTAGCATCGCGTCGACTTAAGATTCATGTAGCTGTCGCGTCGCAGTCGCGTTAGAGTCGCGTTGCAGTCACGCTACAGTCGCGTCACGGTAGCGTCATATGCTTACCTGCGTAGGATGGTGGTGTGGCGCATGGTATTGACTGGGCGCTGCGTGGTACTGAGGCTGCGCGTTATGCGGCGCGTGGTATTGGGGTTGCTGCAATATGGCCGCGTCTTCTCGCGTCATCGTTCTGGAAGGAAAACACGTCTGGTCAAAATATGTGAAGACTGAAGAGAAATCGGACACTTTTTACTTTTTTTTTTGTTTTTTTGTTTTTTTTTTCCTTTCTTCTTAATCTTTGGCANGCGGAATAATACAGTGAAAGATATGGTAAAATGGGGACATGTGGATATGATGAGGCGCTACTAGATGGAATGGGTAGTGAAAGTTGAGTTCCCGCAGTCTACGATGAAACTGATTTTTTATGTTACAACATTTCCAATAGATACCTACCTAGTTAATTCATTTAGTCTGATGACTCATATTCAAAGTAGATATGTTTTGAATTAATCCAATAGGCGATTCAGAAAGTCCAACACCCATCGCCATCTCTTTACCAATAGTTTGGAGTATCAAACTGGAGTTTTCAGATAGCTCTGGGATAGGGACAGAATTCCCAGTTGCATTGGTGGCTTTGTTGAGAGCACCGCCTTCTGCTCTGGCTTTGCGTTTTTAATCCCTCCAGCACTAAAATATAAAACAGTGATTAGTAGTACCTTTACTGCTTTGATTTGGCACATAGCTATAACTGGAGTGCAAATTTATTTGATGTACCTTTTTGTAATGTAAATTCTTTATGAAAACTACTATTTCCACTGCTCCACAGACCTACTTGACCTCAATTCGTCGAATGCTGCTTTTAATTCTACCCACTAGCGCTCTGCTTGAGCAGTGCCATGTTTTGTATTCCTCAGCGAAATCCTTTTTCAACAGCATATTTGTATTTTGCTAGTTGTTGTGGCACCCTGTATGGGCAAAAGCCTCCTCCATCTTGCTCCACTTTTGCCTGACGTGGGCTAGATCAAGCCAGCTTTTGCCCGCTGTTCTCCATATGTCATCAGCCCACCTTTCCTTGTACATAATATTATACCTGTTGTGCACGACCGCCCACTGTTGGGATCTGAAGTAGCCGCTCGGTGTGTCGGTGCGTGCACTGGGTCTGATCGGCGGAGCTCGAACCGCCAACCGTTCATCGATAGTTCTTGATAAATAAAAACGCAATGGACTGTATAGCTTCTTTAATCACTTCACAAATTCACAAATCTTCACTTAACACTATGTAGGTCCTGTCCTTAAGTCTAGAACTACACTACACTTTGCCCGTTCGAAAAGGGCAACCGCGTCGCGTTTAGGAGGAGCTTAGCTCGACTCGCACTTATTCCGATTTGAACTGGACTGCACTGGACTGGCTGACGAATTAACTTTTTGGGTTTTTTTTTTTTTTTTTTCGGACGGACTATGCTGGTAGCCGTGAGCGGCTTTTTCAGCTTCACCGGACAATAGGTGAGCGCAGATGGCTCTCAACCTCAAAATTTAAGCGACGAGCCTAAGGGCGCCCCCGAGTGGGGCTCGGACCTCGGCCTAGGGCGTTGCTGGGGGACGGTAGCCTAACGTAGGTTTGGGGAGAGAAGCGGCCCGGCACGTGCCGATACCGCGAGAAAAAGGGACGGGTCGAAGGGGACCGCGGCGCGAGTCCTCGAGAGGACGGTAGATATATCGGTTGGAGTGGAGTGGTGCTAGTTTTCGCGAGCTGTTGGTCGATGGCTAGGGTGATGTCGTCGTCGGGATCGCTGAGGGCGTTCCTGGGACGACGTCTGCGCGGGGGGGTGGGGAGGTCCGGCGAGTAGTTCGCCGCCCCGGAAATGAGGGGGTTCGGGTGGGACGTGGCAGAGTCAAAATAGTTCTCAGATAATTGCTTGAGGTACGACTTAATAGTCGGTAACCCCAAGTCGCTCACCTGTTGGTGCGATGATGCGTGGGCGTGGGCGCGGGCTGGCTGGGCTGGTGCGGCAGCGTGTGGTGCACGCCGTGCGGCGGCGGCGGCGGCGCCGGGGCTCCCGCCGGGTTCGCCGGCGCTTGCTGGAGAATAGTTATATTGATGTCACATCACTGGTTCATACACAACTTCCCAACAATTTATTTGTTCATCATACAAATGGATTAGTGAAAAACGCGTGGATAGAAACTGAATCGTTTTCTAACAAAAACCGAATGTCTTTGACTGCAATGTGTAATGTATTGAATATACCTTGTTAGATAGGTATAAAAACAAAAATATAACAATAAACAGGACTTGTTCTAGCATGGTAATCTTATCATAGTCGTAGTAATTTTAAACCCGCTTAAGTAGATTTTTGTCAAAATTACAATTATTACAACTTTGCTTATACTCATAGTGCAAGTTAAAAAAAAGTATCTCACAAACACGAAATTTACGAGAAATCAAAATATACAAACACTGCCATCAATAACAACAGTTTTAAGACATGTGCCCAAAAATACAAAATAAAGCATTAATAAATAAAAGAAGAGAAAGACAAATATTAAGACAAAAAAGATTAGAAACCAATGCGAAAGTAATTTAATCCGTATTTTGTTACAAAATGCAATCACCTACTTTTTTTTAGAACTTATTTTACAACAGTCGTGTACATACAGACTATGTCTACAGCATTACTAACAAGCGTGACAAAGGAAAATGAGCCCTATCGCCAACGACATAAGCACTAACCTGCTGATGGGGCGGCGCGTGGTACTGACTGGGTGCCGCGTGGTACTGCGCCGGTCGTTCCTATTTATTTAGAATGGTTTATGTTAAATGTATGTGATATGTACAAGCGACCAGCCTAAGCTGACCTTTGGGGATAGATTTAGTAGGCAGTTCGTAATGGCGCAGTTACACTATGCGAAGTTGATCGAACACGCGCACGGAAGTATGGGCGACGCGCGGTGAAACGAAATAAATTGAGTGTTTACACTATCTGATTCGATCAAGTTCGCGCATAGTGTAACTGCGCCATTAGGCAAAGAGAAATGGTAGTGATATGAAAATATCTAGACTGCTATTACTAATTTCTGAACTAGCTAGACTGGTAAAAATGATTATTGACTGTATATTTGTTAAAGTTGTTCATTCTAGCTCAGAAATTAGGTAATAATAATCTAGCTATCAGAATAAAAACTTGTGAATACAGCATAGTGAATTACGAATGGGGTTTTATACAATGAAGAATGTTAGGGCAAAATATATTTAGTTAAAACGTAGCCTTTATGACATTATTCACTTCAGAGCTGAACTTTTCTTCACAAAAAAATTACGTAAGCTAATTCAAGCTTCCAAGGTATGGAAGCTTGAAAAAGCTTAAGTGATTTTTTTGACCTTGCGTTTCAGTCACGTATCATGACATCATGTGATCAGGAAGGCTTTATAGAAAAAGATGATGCTACAGATTAAAAGAGACGGCTGCTAGTCCAGTCTATTCCAAAAATGTTGTCACCTGCGTGGAATTCAGAATTCTTTTGCGCCGTGGTGAAGTCACGTGGCATTAGCGTCACGCCGAATTAGATTCATGTAGCTGTCGCGTCGCAGTCGCGTTAGAGTCGCGTCACAGTCACGCTACAGTCGCGTCGCGTTAGCGTCATATTCTCACCTGCGTGGGATGGTGGTGTGGCGCATGGTATTGACTGGGCGCAGCGTGGTACTGCGGCTGCGCGTTATGAGGGGCGTGGTATTGGGGTTGCTGCAATATGGCCGCGTCTTCTCGCGTCATCGTTCTGGAAGGAAAACACGTCTGGTCAAAACATGTGAAGACTGAAGAGAAATTGCACACTCACTGCGGGCGCCCGTCTCACAGTCGCGACAGCAATATAATTACGCGCGAGCGATAAGGATGGGTAGCTTGGGGTCATTGGACAAAATTCTACGTGCTCCCGGACCAGACTATAGCAGACTTTGGAAATAGAGGGTCTATGATTATTTATTTATTTATTTATTTATTTAATGAGCAACATAATAAGCTTACAGAAAACCCAAAGCGCTTACATGTTTAGTCACCACATTGATTACAATAAAATTATATATAGTCAAAAAATTACACAAATTATTAAATTAAATTAAAATTAAATTATTATTACACGAAATTGTCATCGCTTTTCCTAGATATGAAGAAAATCTAACGAGGAACGACATGTGCGTTTTTCGGTATCTCAAAAGACGTCCATTGCTGGATAAAAGCCTCTCCTCCAGGATTTTCAAGGCGAGAGTGAATAGGCAGCAGCTACTTACAGGGCAGATTTGTACCATCCTAGGCTGCATCTCACTTAACACCAGGTGCGATCTTAAAAAAACACATAATGATTGATCCTGCTAGGTTTGGCTACGAAATGATCCAAAGGCCATCCAGAAGCTTCTTCACAAATGTATTTTGACATACAAATAGGTAATTTATGGTGTGTAGGGAAGGGTCCATGCACACAAAATCTTTTAGACACTCTCGATGCGCTTGCACTTCTCTGCTCTGCTTTGCTTTGGTGAAAACCTGGCCTAAGCCCGGCAATACACGGACCGCTTGAAGCAGTCAGGGTCGACAGCTTCAAGCTGCGACTGCACAGTGAACTGCAGAGTTCTATGGACGCACATACACGAACCGCTCGAGCAGTTGCAACTGATTCGGGCGGTCGACAGCTCGGTGAATTTTCATCGTGCGGTCAAGCAGTCGCCAGCCATACACTGACTGCTCGAGCTGTCGACAGCTCTCGCGCAGTTACCTCCGCCCACTTTCTTCATTCCACTTCGCGCGCGCTTGTGATTTGTTGAGCAGTTATCACTGGCAGCTTCGAGCTGTTGACTCTTGACTGCAGGAGCGGTCCGTGTATGTTAATCACTGACTAACTGCTCGAGCTGTATTGCCGGCCTAAGAGCGATAAGACGCGTCGACAGCATCTCAAAAGAAAGTGATGTACATAGGCCCTAAATGTTTACTAATCTCTAGTTACCTATACCCCATGTCCTCGTCGTAGGAGTGCGCGTTGTTGTGCCCATTGTACGGCACGGGAGGGTTTGGCGGCTGAGGCGGCGGCGGCGCGGAATTGCCGCTCGGTTTGTTCGCTAGGATCTGGAAGAGAACAGAACATTACACGATGAGTATACGGGACTATTTCCACTCGTTCCCACTACTGCAACTCCTGTCAGTGGCGGCGTAGCATGGGTTGGCACACGGGGCGATGCCTGGTTGTACTTAAAACCACGGAACTGCTGCCTCACCGGCCTCGGGTAAAGACCAGGAATAAACTATTTTCCAGCGTAAAAACAAGTTGCCTTTCGTCCCGCCACTGGTGGAAGGTCGCCACTTGCCTTCGCTTGGTTGTACTTGAGACCGCGAAACTTTGCTGCCTCACAGGCCCCGGAACAAACTATTTTCCGGTGCAAAAACGAGGATATTACCTCCAGCGTGTGCATCATGGCTCGCGCGAAACTGTCTGCGTCCTCGCGACACGAGAAGTTCAGTCCGTACACATGCCTCGCGTCCCGCCACTGGTGGAACGTCGCCGTCGCCTGGTTGTCTTGAGACCACGGAACTTTTCTGCCTCACAGGCCCCGGGCAAAGACCACGAATAAACTATTTTCCGGCGTAAAAACAAGGTGCCTCGCGTCCCGCCACTGGTGGGACGTCGCCGTCGCCTGGTTGTACTTGAGACCGCGGAACTGTTGCCTCACAGGCCACCGGCAAAGATCAGGAATAAACTATTCTCCGGCGTAAAAACAAGGTGCCTCGCGTCCCGCCACTGGTGGNCGCATGAACCTATTCTGGAGGACTTGTAACCTATGGATGTGGGAGGGGGCGATGTGTGCAAACACTGGGCCTGCATACGTGAAAATGGGACGAATGCAAGTCGTGTAAATTCTCAACTTATTTCTAAGCGACAATTTACTACGACTGTTTAGAAGACAATGGAGGCGACCTAGAGCGAAGGACGCTCGGTCGCGAACGGTTTTCACATGTTCGCGGAAGGTTAACCCTTTGTCAAGAGTGACGCCGAGATACTTAACCTTCTTTGTCCATGGAATGGGACGATCGAACATAGTGATCGATTTGGGCGTGGGAGGGAATTTGCTATTGCGAGCAAAGATGATGGCGGCGCTTTNATTAAATTTAATTGTTTCAAAATAGAGTCTAATGCGGATTTGAAATACGCCATGAGTCACTGGCCGGGAGCCTACAGAGCGTTCGCAGTTGAGCAATAAGTATTTGAAATGTATTGTCGAATGATCGACGAATGTCTGATACCACAACTGCAACTGCATCCCGGCCAACTACTATTTCAGCAAGAAGGTGTCTCACCACCCACTGAGAGTACCTCGATGGAGACACTGAGGACTATTTTTTCTAGCCGCCTCGGTCACCAGATCTCACACCATGCGACTTTTTCTTGTCAAGTCAAAAGTTTACAGCAAACAATCCTTAAATAATTCAGTTTCTGTAAATATCCGCCGTGAAGTTGCAGGGAAATTATTAGCGCGATTTGCTCTCGCATAGTTGCGNTTTACTTTAAATTGCACACTCACTGCGGGCGCCCGTCTCACAGTCGCGACAGCAATATAATTACGCGCGAGCGATAAGGATGGGTAGCTTGGGGTCATTGGACAAAATTCTACGTGCTCCCGGACCAGACTATAGCAGACTTTGGAAATAGAGGGTCTATGATTACACAAAATTGTCATCGCTTTTCCTAGATATGAAGAAAATCTAACGAGGAACGCCATCTGCGTTTGTCGTTATCTCAAAAGAAAGAAAGAAAGAAAGAAATAGACTTTATTGAACACAGTAAGCACAAATTATAAACGATAACAACAAAAAACGAATATAGAAAATAGTGGGCTACTGTGTCAATAGCCCGCTCAGCATTTATCCTGACATGCTCGTAAGGGCATGTCAAGAAACTGGTCTTCCGCGAGAGCCCTTGTTGTGGCTTCGCGCAAAGACGTCCATTGCTGGATAAAAGCCTTTCCTCCAGGATTTTCAAGGCGAGAGTGAATAGGCAGCAGCTACTTACAGGGCAGATTTGTACCATCCTAGACTGCATCTCACTTAACACCAGGTGCGATGATTACTTAAAAAACACATAATGATTGATCCTGCTAGGTTTGGCTACGAAATGATCCAAAGGCCATCCAGAAGCTTCTTCACAAATGTATTTTGACATACAAATAGGTAATGTATGGTGTGTAGGGAAGGGTCCATGCACACTAAGTCTTTTAGACACTCTCGATGCGCTTGCACTTGCACTTCTCTGCCCGCTCCTCCGCTCTGCTTTGGTGGAAACCGGGCCTAAGGCCGGCAATACACGGACCGCTTGAAGCAGTCAGGGTCGACAGCTTCAAGCTGCGACTGCACAGTGAACTGCAGAGTTCTATGGACGCACATACACGAACCGCTCGAGCAGTTGCAACTGATTCGGGCGGTCGACAGCTCGGTGAATTTTCATCGTGCGGTCAAGCAGTCGCCAGCCATACACTGACTGCTCGAGTTGTCGACAGCTCTCGCGCAGTTACCTCCGCCCACTTTCTTCATTCCACGGCGCGCGCGCTTGTGATTTGTTGAGCAGTTATTACCAACTGCTCGAGCAGTTATCGCTGGCAGCTTCAAGCTTTTGACTCTTGACTGCAGGAGCGGTCCGTGTATGTTAATCACTGACTAACTGCTCGAGCTGTATTGCCGGCCTAAGAGCGATAAGACGCGTCGACAGCATCTCAAAAGAAAGTGATGTACATAGGCCCTAAATGTTTACTAATCTCTAGTTACCTATACCCCATGTCCTCGTCGTAGGAGTGCGCATTGTTGTGCCCGTTGTAAGGCACGGGAGGGTTCGGCGGCTGAGGCGGCGGCGGCGCGGAATTGCCGCTCGGTTTGTTGGCTAGGATCTGGAAGAGAGCAAAACAATACATGATGAGTATACGGGACTATTTCCACTCGTTCCCACTATTGCAACTCCTGTTAGTGGCGGCGTAGCATGGGTTGGCACACGGGGCGATGTCTGGTTGTACTTAAAACCACTTAACTGCTGCCTCACCGGCCTCGGGTAAAGACCAGGAATAAACTATTTTCCGGCGTAAAAACAAGGTGCCTCGCGTCCCGCCACTGGTGGGACGTCGCCGTCGCCAGGTTGTCTTGAGACCGCGAAACTTTGCTGCCTCACAGGTCCCGGAACAAACTATTTTCCAGTGAAAAAACGAGGATATTACCTCCAGCGTGTGCATCATGGCTCGCGCGAAACTGTCGGCGTCCTCGCGACACGAGAAGTTCAGTCCGTACACATGCCTCGCGTCCCGCCACTGGTGGAACGTCGCCGTCGCCTGGTTGTACTTGAGACCGCGGAACTGCTGCCTCACCGGCCTCGGGTAAAGACCAGGGATAAACTATTTTCTGGCGTAAAAATCAAGGTGCCTCGCGTCCCGCCACTGGTGGGACGTCGCCGTCGCCTGGTTGTACTTGAGACCGCGAAACTTTGCTGCCTCACAGGCCCCGAAATAAACAATTTTTCTGCGTAAAAACAAGGGCGTTACCTCCAGCGTGTGCATCATGGCTCGCGCGAAACTGTCTGCGTCCTCGCGACACGAGAAGTTCAGTCCGTACACATGCCTCGCGTCCCGCCACTGGTGGAACGTCGCCGTCGCCTGGTTGTACTTGAGACCGCGGACGATGCCGCAGTTTATCACCACCTGGAATTTGATAAAATGATGATTAGCACCTGGAAAAGTGATCTGAATAGCAAAATTCAATCTTATTCCTGTCACAAAACTCGGCATACAAAAGAACAGGTAATGCACTTGAGAGCTCAGCGGGATTACTCCCAAAACGTTAGCCGACGTTTCGAATGTTGCCATCTCGCTCACCCAAAGCGAGATGCCAGCATGAGCGACAGTGACAGATAGACCCGAAACTACGTGAATAGAGTTACGGAGTAGCCCTGCCAAGGGGATCCAGCTATGAGCCTACCTAATGTTTCATTCTTATGTGTCTAAGAGCGAAAAATTCGGCCTAAAAGTCTTTTCCTGAGCCAGGCTGCCCCTTTCCAGAGTCAGACTATCCCGCCCTTTCCTGAGCCAGACTGCCCCCTTCCTGAGCCAGACTGTCCCGCCCGCCCTTACCATGACCCAAAAGTCCATAGATCCAGTGCTTCAAGTTGTTGTCAAGTTCAACCAACCTCACGCGTTCAATCAACCCTCACGCGCTGTTATGTCCAACAGAACAGAGCGTGAGGGTGTGTTTATAAAGATACTGACCTCATGGTCGTTGAGCTTCCTGCCCACCACGCGGAAGGTGTTGTGCTGCGTGTGGTGGTAGATGTGCACCTTGGACACGCCTGCGCTGGAGCCCGAGGGAATCCAGCGCTTCACGTTGTCGTCGTACACCATGACGGGGCTAGTGGAGCTTGACGTCACACGTCAGCGAGACTACAGGCACTTGTGAGCTTAGCGGGGTTACTCCCAAAACGTTAGCCGAAGTTTCGAATGTTGCCATCCCTCTCACCCAAAGCGAGATGCCAGCATGAGCAACAGTGACAGATAGAACTGAAACTACGTGAACAGAGTTGCGAAGAAGCCCTGCCAAGGGGATCCAGCCATAAGCCTACCTAATGTTTCATTCTTAAGTGTCTAAGAGCGGAGGCTCTGTGTATCTTAGATGCTCTATTGGGTCAGACTGGCCCCCTTTTCCTGGGCTACTTAGCTGTTTGAGTCTTCTTCTTCTTCTGTGCCTTTTCCCATTTCATTTGGAGTTTGCCTCCCTCGTTTTAAAGGTGCCAAGACAGTCTTAGACTAAACTACTTGAGGGCCCTAAAACTTGAGGATACTGACCTCATGGTCGTTGAGCTTCCTGCCCACCACGCGGAAGGTGTTGTGCTGCGTATGGTGGTAGATGTGCACCTTGGACACGCCTGCGCTCGAGCCCGAGGGAATCCAGCGCTTCACGTTGTCGTCGTACACCATGACGGATGCGCGCGCGCTGCTTATGGATTGCTCGCTGTGGACAAACAATAAGCATTGTTAGAATGACACTTCTATCATAACTTTTTCCTGCGACTTATTTATTTAAAACTTATGCACATAGAGACTTAAGGCTAACTTAGGCCCAGAACACACGGTGAAACGCAACTGCAACTTCTAGTTACTTTTGAGTATCATCTAAGTTTCTGCCATAGATTCCGTTGAGAGACTACACATGACGCGACCAGTTTCAACCAGTTTGGGCCTTAATGCCATTTGGCATTCCCCTCCACCTTATGGTCAAACAGAAAATATGAATGAACGACTTTACCGCGTGAATTTCGATTAGATACTTCTATCATAGATATCAAGGCCAGAATTCATTATAAGGTCATTTTGTCTCCTTTGCAGCGCTGTAACTAGGGCAGGAAGTGTCCATCCAGATATAGGGCGCAGATTTTAAAAAATACCTGACTGGCTGAAGGCAAGACCGTGAAACAAGGTTGCAAAGGAATCGAAGAGGCCCTGATGTAAGCATATTGTTTCTTTAGACACCTCTTACAACATGAACTGGAAGAGTAAGGGTGGCCCTGTTCTGTGGCCGATGAATTATCGGACACAATGTAGTGATCAATTCTAATATCTAGCCATGAACGAAACGTAGCCACGTAGGGAAGGAAAACTGTAAACAGAAATTTTACAAGTCCNCCTCAAGCAAAGACCAGGAATCTATTTTCCGGCGTAAAAATAAGGTGCCTCGCGTCCCGCCACTGGTGGGACGTCGCCGTCGCCTGGTTGTACTTGAGCCCACAGAACTTTGGTGCCTCACAGGCTCTGGAACAAACTATTTTCCGGTGCAAAAACGAGGATATTACCTCCAGCGTGTGCATCATGGCTCGCGCGAAACTGTCTGCGTCCTCGCGACACGAGAAGTTCAGTCCGTAGACATGCCTCGCGTCCCGCCACTGGTGGAACGTCGCCGTCGCCTGGTTGTACTTGAGACCACGGAACTGCTGCCTCACAGGCCTCGGGCAAAGACCAGGAATCTATTTTCCGGCGTAAAAACAAGGTGCCTCGCGTCCGGCCACTCGTGGAAGGACGCCACTTGCCTCGTCTGGTTGTACTTGAGACCGCGGAACTGCTGCCTCACCGGCCTCGGGTAAAGACCAGGAATAAACTATTTTCCAGCGTAAAAACAAGTTGCCTTTCGTCCCGCCACTGGTGGAAGGTCGCCACTTGCCTTCGCTTGGTTGTACTTGAGACCGCAGAACTTTGCTGCCTCACAGGCCCCGGAACAAACTATTTTCCGGTGCAAAAACGAGGATATTACCTCCAGCGTGTGCATCATGGCTCGCGCGAAACTGTCTGCGTCCTCGCGACACGAGAAGTTCAATCCGTACACATGCCTCGCGTCCCGCCACTGGTGGAACGTCGCCGTCGCCTGGTTGTACTTGAGACCGCGGAACTGTTGCCTCACAGGCCACCGGCAAAGACCAGGAATAAACTATTTTCCGGCGTAAAAACAAGGTGCCTCGCGTCCCGCCACTGGTGGGACGTCGCCGTCGCCAGGTTGTACTTGAGACCGCGGACCTGCTGCCTCACAGGCCTCGGGCAAAGACCCGTAATAAACTATTTTCCGGTGCAAAAACAAGGACATTACCTCCAGCGTGTGCATCATGGCTCGCGCGAAACTGTCTGCGTCCTCGCGACACGAGAAGTTCAGTCCGTACACATGCCTCGCGTCCCGCCACTGGTGGAACGTCGCCGTCGCCTGGTTGTACTTGAGACCGCGGAACTGTTGCCTCACAGGCCACCGGCAAAGACCAGGAATAAACTATTTTCCGGCGTAAAAACAAGGTGCCTCGCGTCCCGCCACAGGTGAAACGTCGCCGTCGCCTGGTTGTACTTGAGACCGCGGACCTTTGCTGCCTCAAAGACCTCAAGCAAAGACCAGGAATCTATTTTCCGGCGTAAAAATAAGGTGCCTCGCGACCCGCCACTGGTAGAAGATTGCCACTTGCCGTCAAATCAAATCAAATCAAATCAAATCATTTATTTCGTTTGAAAGTGGTACATGTAAGTGATGGTAAAGTAGATTTGAGTAGTATCACACATGTAGTCGCCTGGTTGTACTTGAGACCGCGGATTTGCTGCCTCACAGGCCTCGGGCAAAGACCCGTAATAAACTATTTTCCGGTGCAAAAACGAGGATATTACCTCCAGCGTGTGCATCATGGCTCGCGCGAAACTGTCTGCGTCCTCGCGACACGAGAAGTTCAATCCGTAGACATGCCTCGCGTCCCGCCACTGGTGGAACGTCGCCGTCGCCTGGTTGTACTTGAGACCGCGGACGATGCCGCAGTTTATCACCACCTGGAAGTAGATAAAAGGATAATTAGCACCTGGAAAAGTGATCTAAATATTATGCAAAATTCAATCTTATTCCTGTCACAAAACTCGGCATACAAAAGAACAGGTAATGCACTTGAGAGCTCAGCGGGATTACTTTAGCAGACGTTTCGAATGTTGCCATCCCTCTCACCCAAAGTCTTAGTTCCTCCTCTGAGCCAGTCTACCCTTTCCTGAGCCAGGCTGCCCCTTTCCAGAGCCAGACTATCCCGCCCTTTCCTGAGCCAGACTGCCTCTTTCCTGAGCCAGTCTTACCATGGCAAAAAGTCCATAGATCCAGCGCTTCAAGTTGTTGTCACGTTTTGGGCAGAACAGCGCGTGAGGGTGTTTATAAAGATACTGACCTCATGGTCGTTGAGCTTCCTGCCCACCACGCGGAAGGTGTTGTGGATACTTAGCTGATTGAGTCTTCTTCTTCTGTGCCTTTTCCCATTTCATTTGGAGTCTGCCTCCCTCGTTTTAAAGGTGCCAAGATAGTCTTAGACTAAGCTACTTGAGGGTCATAGAGTCTATCTACTAAAGTGCTCTTAAACTTGAGGATACTGACCTCATGGTCGTTGAGCTTCCTGCCCACCACGCGGAAGGTGTTGTGCTGCGTGTGGTGGTAGATGTGCACCTTGGACACGCCTGCGCTCGAGCCCGAGGGAATCCAGCGCTTCACGTTGTCGTCGTACACCATCACGGATGCGCGCGCGCTGCTTATGGATTGCTCGCTGTGGACAAACAATAAGCATCGTTAGAATGACACTTCTATCATAACTTTTTCCTGCGACTTATTTATTTAAAACTTATGCACATAGAGACTTAAGGCTAACTTAGGCCCAGAACACACGGTGAAACGCAACTGCAACTTCTAGTTACTTTTGAGTATCATCTAAGTTTCTGCCATAGATTCCGTTGAGAGACTACACATGACGCGACCAGTTTCAACCAGTTTTGAGCCTTAATGCCATTTGGCATTCTCCTCCACCTTATGGTCAAACTGAAAATATGAATGAACGACTTTACCGCGTGAATTTCGATTAGATACTTCTATCATAGATATCAAGGCCAGAATTCATTATCATGTCAATTTGTCTCTAACTAGGGCGGGAAGTATCCGTCCAGATACAGGCGCAGATTTTAGATTGCACAGAAAATACCTAACTGGCTGAAGACAAGAGCTCCGTGAAACAAGGTTGCAGAGGAATCGAAGAAAGAAAGAAAGAAATATTGATTGCCATGGACATCACAAAAGACAAAAGAGGTAAATAAAAAAAAACAAACAAGACAGAGGTGACACATAAAACATACCATTGAAGAGAAAGTAAACTTAACAGTGCCACCCTGTCGCACAGCGATGCCCATCGCAATGGGACCCCACTCAGCATATGCACGCTGGTTTTCAGTGTGCCCCAAGAAGAAGAGGCCCTGATGTAAGCATATTGTTTCCTTAGACGCCTCTTACAATATGAAGTGGAAGAGTGGGGATGGCGCTTTTTATCGGCCACATGATGAAGTGATCTATTCTGAGACGTAGCCATGAACGAAACGTAGCCACGTAGGGAAGAAAAACTGTAAACGGCAATTTTATAAGTCTCAAGTTTCTACTGTAAATCTTTATTCAATTTAAATTATTGAAAGTAAAGCTGCAAAATATTTTGCGAACTGTTTTCCTAACCTAGATTCAGTGTTTACGAATATAAAATGAACTAAATCGACCTCCCCTCATCAATTAAGTGCCGGAATATAATCAGCTTGTCAATTTCTTATCCATTTACTCCAGTAACCTTGGTTACGTTTACATCACCTTTAACGACCTTCGAAGAGAGTTCAGTTTTGTTTATCGACAACCAAGGTTAAGATATTACCATAAGAAACATGGTGACTGGTAGAATCACTACTGTGATATCAGATCTATTACTTTCAAATAATATGTCGTCCAGGTATTGGATACATACAGATCAGGCTGTGTAAGTGTTGGAAATATTCCGAGGCGATCCCGGTTTTCCTGAAGTTCAGACAACCCTGCCTTGATTAACAGCTAATCTTGCCGATTCCACGCAGCAGCAGTAGACGACTTGTTGTCACGTTTTCTGACGGTGTTTCATACAAACACATACAAGTAGAAACCAGGGCACAACATCATGTGCTTCATCGACTGGGGAACACAACCACACTTGCACCACAGCTTGCACTCCAAGTTTGAGCCATCCAAGAATCCCCTGGACAGATTGTCCTTACTACGGTCGACCTGCGTAAGTTGCCAAGCCAACCTGGTTTAGGGACTACCTTTTGCTTACAAATTAATACCCGTATTCATAAACGATGCTTGCTTAAGCGAAGCAGAAAATCGAACGCACAGCGTTGAATAGAGCTCTGTGATTGGTTCGTGTGTGACCCTGTGCGCACTGTGAGACCTCATAGTAATGTTTGTGAATACGGGCGTAAGATTAAGTATTTTTTACGAACTAAGTAGACGATCTTATTATTGCAAGAGTAATGTTGCTGGTTCGACCCGCATTACATCAGCGGACGTGACGTAATGACGTAAAGGGCCGGCCCACGCTCCCTAAGCCTACGATTGACAGCCCCATCATGCGCCATCTGTCATTTTTGCACTTCATCAGACAATATTAGAAAAAGTATTGTCTGTCTACATAATAAGGCAACTGGGCCTCTAAGATTCTAGAGTAGATTTTTGTTGATTTGGTGTTGGATAAATTAATGGTTTACATCCACATTAATGGTGGGCCCAGTTGCCGGGAAAAGAAATTAAAATTAAAACCGGGGATTTGGCCCGAGGACCAAGCTAAAAGTGGGCCAAGTCGCTGGAGACTCTTACGCCCGTATTCATAAACGTTATTATGAGGTCTCACAGTGCGCGTGGACGCACAGGGTGACACACGAACCAATCACAGAGCTCTATTCAACGCTGTGCATTCGATTTGCGGCTTCACTTAAGCAAGCATCGTTTTTGAATACGAGTGTTAGATTGAATTTGAAATCCACCCAGGCAATGTCGCGGGCAAAAGTTATATGACTAATAAAATCATTTTTCGGTAATAAATTCGTTTTATTTACTTAATAATCCATTTTAAATTATACGTTACCACTTCGAGGCAATAATTAACGCTAATCGAGAATTTCTTACAAATAAATACTTTTAACGTTGCATTTTACAATTTTAACAAATAAGCCATTTTCCAATGAACAATATATTATTACCTTTATAAATACAATCAATTATAAGTTAACGTATTTCAAACATAATCGACTATTATACTGTGAGGAAGGAAACTTTATTTATTAACATTTGGCATGAACTCCTTTAGGTTTTCCTGTAGCCTCGATTTGCAAGGTGCCTATATTTTATACAATGCCAGTCATTCTTTGTAACGTCATTTTTTTAACGGCTTATGTGACTGCACCAGAAAGTCTGCCAACAGAGAGAGATGGAGGGAGATCGTGCGGAGAGTTGTATCCGCATCTACAACCGATGTGAACAACGCCTCAACGTGACCACGACCGCTCCGCCAAGAGCGTAACGAATAAGAAGAAGAAGTCATTCTTTAAAGTTTCTTCGTTTTTTTAAATGACCAAATGACGTCCACTGCTGGACAAAGGCCACCCTCAAATATTTCCACAACAACCAGTCCTGCTGTCAAAGCCGTTTAGTCTTCTGTAATATTTTCATGGATAAATTGATGAACGTATCTAAGTAAAGAATGTCGTATACGTGTGATACCATTTAAATACCATACCGCCTAGTTTTATAAGTAGTTTTTTTTGGGTCAGATTGTTTGCTTGCAGTAGAACTAATGCCCGTTATCACCATCGATCCCTAATTTTTAAGTGACCCCTACGACAACAAAATTCCTGTTATGTGTTACCATAGGGATCACTTCAAAATTAGGGATTGATGGTGAAAACGGGCATAAGTCTCAGCCCCCTAGAAAAGTTGCAAAATGCGACAGTTTTCATGTCGATAAATGGTCGAAAGACCTTTATTTTTTGTATGGAGTTACAACGGATTCGATTTTCGATTCAATCAAGAAGTGCCACTTGTCTAGACTCACAGACCAGTGAACAATTCCAGAAGTCTGCTTCTTTTCGTGTCGACAACAAACCTACACAGTGTCAGCCCAAAACTCCGCCACAAGAGTGGCGTTGTCAATAGCACTCATCAAATCCTCCTGAGTGCAGTTGCTTGGGCACTCAGGGCATGACATTCCAGAAGTATAACTATGTGTTAATTTCATGTACTTAATAAAAATCAAAATATCGATATTCAGTACTACGATACACTCTACCGGTCGATATAACCTCTACCCCGATTATGCAACAGCATCAGTTTGAGAACGGACGTGGGCCGGATTGCCTGAGAAGGTCGCGCGATGAGCGAACCAGACGGTGTCATAGTACGGGGGCGACGCATCCTCGAATTGGGTCATTTACCTGTGGAAATTCGAATTTCGAACCAGTAGAGCTATTGGTTAATTTATTTAAAACAGTTGCTAATGTTGATGTCGTGCCCTGAGTGCCCAAGCAACTGCACTCAGGATTTGATGAGTGCTACTAACAACGCCACTCTTGTGGCGGAGTTTTGGGGCTGACACTGTGTAGGTTTGTTGTCGACACAAAAAGAAGAAGAAGTTGCTAATGAGGGCCATAGTTTTTACTTAACAGTTGGCACCACTAGCGAGTGACAGTACCTTCAGTTAGCGTCACTGTCTTGGCCACACAAACAAGAGAGCCTTACTCTACAATAGCGTCAACTGGTGATCGCTAAAACGATAGATCTTATTGAGGAAATTCGAATTTTGAAGCAAGAATAAGGCCCGATTCGACCAAACTTTTATCCGAGAACAACTCCAGTGGGTCTAGACAAAGTGCAAATTATAATCGCAAACCAGTCGAAAAGTGGTCGAAAACCTCTTTTTTGTATGGAGTTTTGACGGATTCGATTTTCGATTCGATCAAAAAGTGCGTTTTGTCTAGGGGGGCAGTGGGTCTAGACAAAGTGCAAATTATAATCGCAAACCAGTCGAAAAGTGGTCGAAAAGCCCCTTTTTTGTATGGAGATTTGACGGATTCTATTTTCGATTCGATCAAAAAGTGCGTTTTGTCTAGGGGGGCTGGTATAACTGGCACATTGACAGAGATAAATATGTCAAAATGACAAGTTTATTCTGAGATTAATATTTACTCTTGTTTGGTGGAATCCACCCTAAGTCTATTGGCTAACTTTTTAAGCAGTTGCCAACTATTTTTCAATATACACTGTCTTTAAAAGGAGGTCTCACGATGCTCTCAGCTGATTCATATTGAGATTAACCTCAATACAAGTATGAGTTACTTCATCAATACAAATAAAGGAGATAATCCGTTACATAACACAGACTTTGACAAATGATAAGAGCCAAAAAAAAAGAGACGGGGGCGAAGGCATTCAAGATGAGAGACAATTCAAAATAATAGCGAGATTAGAAAGGAAAAGTAAATAATTTTCAATGGGAATCATTAAGTAAGTACTTGACTGTCGTAATAACAACAATGTTAACAGCATTGTTGTGTTTCGGTAGTTGGAGGTAAGAAGATAGCCAGTTCCTCTGTGATTGAGGATTCCAGAGGTTCAATTCCAATTTCTGCCTGATTATCACTTTTCATCAGTTAAGAATGTTGTGATGCAACTTGATGCAAGCCAAGACCTTCCCCGTAATAAGTAGTTAAA